TACTATTATTATAGACCCTAATGAGGAATTGCAAATTGTTCTTCGTATAATCTACTATAATGTGCCTGGCTTTTATTCCAATCCTAGAAAAATATGAAAAATATGTATAAAAGAAGGATATACTCATTTTCAACTTAAAGATATCACAAACTGGTTAGAGAATCAGTATGATTACCAGATATATCGACACCCACCAAAAATTAAGGCCCAGGCTAGCTTTTCTAAATGCCGAATTCCTAATAAATTATATCAATGTGACCTACTCCCCCATGCCCATGATGATTAGAAAAGAGGAAAAATATATTTACACACTTTGGTGTTAATAGACGTGGCAACTAGATATAAATGTGCAGTAGTATTAATATCAAAGACTAGCTCAGATGTTTGGAACGCAATCGAAAAAATATACAATGATCCCAAAAATCCTCTCAAGTGGCCGGCATTGTTGATAGTTGATGGTGCTAGTGAGTTTAAAGAATCATTTGCTAAAGAAATGGAGCGATATAATGTTCTTATAAGAGTTGTCGATCTTTATAGCTTTGAGAGCTTAGCATTAGTTAAAAAATTTAAACAAGATTTGGCTAGACTTATATACAAAATTCAATATACCATAGAGGGAAAACTCAAAGAAGGTGAATGCTCGAAATTATGGAACAAGATACTTCAGAAAATTATCAACTATATGAATAATAATAAAACTCGATTAATAGGCATGTCGCCATCATATGCAGTGACATTAGGAGAAGTAATACCTAAAGTATCTACTAAACCTAAAAGACCTATTGGAAAGGATGAACTACTATTACAGAAGAGGCTCACAGTAAGATATCTATTAAAACCCGGTGAGCTAGAAGAAGGGCATATGCATAGAAAAACTGACCCGTAGTAGTCATTGCATATCTATAAAATCAAAAAAGTTATTGTTGGTAAAAATCCACCACAGCTAGTTTTATACTATCTTGAGGATAAGCCAATTGATTCAACTAATCATTTAATAGGTCGTAATCCCAAAAGACCTTTTAAGAGAGAGGAGCTTCAAGTAATCGAGAATCCTGAAAAGATTGAGTACCCACCTAATGAGTTTATACAAAAATATCACCCCTCTGGATCGTTACATTTCATTCGTATTTCTAATAATGAATTTGACAGGGCGCAACGATATGCTGGAAGACGTGGTGGAAGTATTTTAGCTAAAACTGGGCGAATAAATAATCAGAATGTATTTCTCTAGACTTGTGAAAATGGACTGCATCAGTTTGAGTACCCATTTTCATTGATTGCAACGAAATTTGAGTGGTGTCTACTTTGTTTTCACAATAAGAATGAGCGATGCTGTAGATACATTTTTGAGGATTTATTAGATAAGAAGTTCCTACCATGTTCGGATAAATTTTTAGATAGACTCAGACTTGATGGATATAATGAGAAATTGCGCCTGGCATGGGAGCATCAAGGAGTACAACACTATCATCAGAATGCAATGTTCCACAAATGAGGTCAAATTGATTTGGATAAGCAAAAGGCACGTGACGAAAAAAAGCGGGAGATATGCAAGAAGCAAGGTATAGATCTGATTGAAATACCATTCAACTTGGATTTATATACATTTATAAAAAGTGAATTGCAAGAGAGAGGTTATTTATCGCATAAAGAATAAACACATAAGTATTACTTAGCTTGA